TCCATTTACAAACACTTTAATTCCATTTTTTTCATTTTCTCACATTTTTTTCTTTTCCCTTATTCCCCTTCCCCTACCTTTCCCACTTTCCCTACACCTTTAGCCCTTTTATATATAAAAAAAATCATATGATATTTAAGCTTGCATGTTATTTCACTTAGTATTATGTTCTCAAGGTGCATCCAATTTTCTACAAATGATTCATGTTTATGCTTCTTTATGGCAGAGTAGTGTAGTACTCACTGTGTGTAAATACCACACTTTTTTTTTTCTCATTGAGTTTATTGGTACATTTTAGGTATACAGTACAGTTGCATTCATTACTGGGATCTTGTACCTTTACATGACAGGTCTTGGTTCTCATTTTTTGCCCTTGTCTACACTTTCTTTAGCTATTTATCTGTAGATGGGTACATAGGCTGTTTCTAAAATTTAGCTATTATGAATTGCACTGCTATAAACATAGGTATGCATACATCACTGTCTTCAAATCTTTTGGGAAGATACCTAGAATGGGAGTAACTGAGTCAAATAGAACCTCTAATTTTAGATTTTTAAGGAATCTCCATACTGATTTCCATAGTGGTTGTATCAGCTTACAGTCCCACCAACAATTAAGCAGGGTTTCTTTCTCCCCACAGCCTCACCAGCATTTGTTATCAGTTAATTTCTTGATGGCAGCCATTCTTTCTGGAGTGAGATGAAATCTCAATATTTTAATTTGCATTTCTTGAATGGTCAGCAATGTTGAATATTTTTTCATATTTATTAGTTGTTTGTATTTCTTTGTATGAGGGTCTATTCATTTCAGATACTCATCTTTTTAATTGGGTATTTAAAATTGGAGGGTCTAGCCAGGTGTGGTGTCGCACACCTGTAATCCCAGCACTTTTGAGGCTGAGGCAGGAGGATCACTGTGAGTTTGAGACCAGCCTGGGCTACAGAGTGAATTCCAGGTCAGTCTCAACTACATAGTGAGACCCTGTCTAAAAAATAATATTGGAGGGTCTAATTTTTTTGAGTTCTTTATATATTCTCAATGTTATTCCTTTATCTGAGGGGTAGCTGGCAAAATTCTTTTTACCATTCTGTTGGTTGTCTCACTTTGTTGGTGATTTCTATGCTGTGCAGGTTTTTAACTTATGTGATCCCATTTGTTCATTCTTGTCATTATTTCTTTTTTAAATTGAGTTTATTGGTACATTCTAGGTACACAGTACAGTTACATTCATCATTGGGATCTTGTACCTTTACATAATAGGTCTTGGTTCTCATTTTTTCCCCTTGTCCCTGCCCTCCCTTCACCACCTCCTCCCCTCCCCATTTACTAACACTTTGTTTCCATTTTTTTTCATTTTCTCATATTTTTTTTTCTTTTCCCTTATTACCTTTTCCCTACCCTTCCCACTTTCCCTACACCTTTAGCCCTTTTCTTCCTATTTCACTTTGTCAATTATCTCATTAGGATCTTATGTACTATTATAGTTTTTGACACCATTCTTGTTATTATTTCTTGTGCAACTGGAATTTTGTTCAGAAAATCTTTGCCTACACCTATGTCTTCAAGAATTTTACCTATTTTGTATTCCAGCAGATTTAGAGTTTCTGTTCTAATGATTAGATCTTTGATCCATTTTGATTTTAGTTTACTGCATGGTGAGAAATATAAGTATAGGTTCAACTTTTGGCTTGTGGAGAGCCCGTTTCCCGATATTATTTGTTAAAGAGGCTATCTTTCCTCAAGCATAGGTATTTGGCCTTTTTGTCGAAGATAACATAGCTGAGAGTTGTTTCTGAATCACTTATTCTCTTCTATTGATCCACAAGTCTGTTTTTTGGCAATATCATTTTATTTAAAACATCACTGTAGCTTTGTAATACAACTGTGGTGCTCCTGCCTTACCCTTGTTGCCCAGAATAACTTTTGGCATTCTAGGTCACTTTTGGTTCTGTATGAATTTTAGAATTGGTTTCTCCAGTTCTGTAAAATGTTGTTGGTACTTTTTGTTTTGTTTTGTTGTTGTTGTTTTTGAGATGAGGTCTCACTACGTAGTTAAGATTGACCTGGAACTCACTATGAAGCCTAGGCCTGTCTCAAACTCACAGCTATCCTCCTGCCTCAGCCTCCTGAGTGCTGGGATTACAGGTGTGCACCACTATGGCTGGCTATTGTTGATATTTTGATTTGGATTGCATTATATCTATACAACAGTATTGGAAGAATCACTATTTTTACTATGTAGGGTCTGCCTATCCAGCAACAGTGAATATCTTTCTATTTTTTGACATCCTCTTTGATCTCCTTTTTCAGAACACTATAGCTTTCATCCTAGAGGTCTTTCACTTTCTTGCTTTCCTAAGTATTTCCTTTTTTGTGCCATTATGAAAGGTATTTTCCCTAATTTCTCTCTAAGAGAGTTTGTTATTGGTGTACATAAACACTATTTATTTTTGAGTGTTGACTATGTATCCTGATACTCTACCAAATTTGGATATTAGTTGTCAGAATCTTTTAGTGAAGTCTTTGAGATCTTCTATATAGAGCATCCTGTCATCAGCAAATAATGATAATTTAACTTCTTCTTTCCCTATCCATATCCTTTTATTTCTTTCTCTTCTCTTATTGCTATAACTAATGTTTTGAGAACTATATTGATCAGAAGTGGTAATAGTGGACAATCTTATCTTTTTTCTCATTTTAGGGGGAAAGCTTTCAGCTTCTCTGTGTTTAGTATGATATTGGCCATT